TACCCACGGCCCGTATGCAAAAAATTAATTTGGCTCCTAAAAATAGAAGCTGACCCCTAAAAATTGAACTTTCCGACCGAGGTGGTGCCTAAAATTTTAGGGGGAAGGCAGAACACTGGAATACACGCAAGGCAGGAGTCATGGCACGATGAAATAGAGGCAAGTTTACACAGCAGCTTGTGACAAGGATAACATGAAAAAACAAGGGGGAAAACTAGGAAACAAGGCTAAAAACTCACACGAAGATACCGAGACGTTTCGGCTCAAAACTGAGCCATTTTCAGTCCGTGAAATAAGTAAAAACCGAAACTCGTAATAAACTCATGACTTTACTCGTGAGCTCACCTCATGTAGGTTTCAGGTTTTTATCGAACATTTTTTTAATTTTTACTCATTTCTCCGACTGAAAATGGCTTAGTTCCGAGCCGAAACGCCTCGGTATTTCAGGGTGTATTGTTAGCCTTGTTTCCCGTTTTTCCCCCTTGTTTTTTCATGTCACGATGAATGTAGTTCCTTTTGATTGACCTGCGTCCAAGTAGGACAAGTTGGATTTTGCAATCGCTAGCGATAGCAATATTCGTCATGGGAACGTTAGCTTCTGGGATATGAAAATGTTAAGGTACAGTTCGTTTGTAGTATCTTCTGAATTGAAGGGGCTATGTAATTTTGTGTTGACATCTCTTTTTTAACATTTTTAATTATTTTCTTTGCATACAAGAAAGCTGTTATGTACCAATTATTTATTTTCGTTGGATTATTTATGGTTTTCGGAAGTTACCGCATTTAAGTTTCAGGTTCGCTTATTGGCGTAAAGTATACAAAAGGTGTCCCAAAAGCACCGGGACTTGTTCTGTAACTTCAAAAGTAAGATGGATACAGACATGATCTTGATCTCATTTTAAAGATCAACTCAATACCTATCGATTAAAACCAATATCAGCTCAATCGGATAAAAATTGACCAAGTTATGGCAATTTGAAATCAGCGAGGAAAGTTTACGCCTACGGTTTTTAAGGAAGATTCTTCATCGCCGTAAATCGAAAAGTCGGCCTATAAAGTGATGCTTATTGTGTTTTTTTCATTTTCGAGGTGTCATTTATCAACATTTTGTACCACCAAACACAACAGTTGACAGTGCGTATTATTGCAAAGTGCTAAAGGAGTTGAGAATGCACATTTCCCGGAAACGGTCGGACTTGAAAGCTCCGTGGATACTCCATCAAGACAAGCGCGGCCTCACACATCGAGCTTAACACGTGAATTTATGAGTAAAAATGGAGTTGAAACAATCCCTCATCCCCCTTACAGCCCTGACTTGGCTCCATGTTATTTTTGGATGTTTCCTACACTTAAAAAGGAGCTTCGTGGACGAAGATTCGAATCGAAGACCGAAATCCAGAATGCAATTCAAAACTTTTTCAACGCCATCCCAGAGGAAGAATTCAGGAAAACAATGTTGGATAAGTGGCAAGAGCGCATGAAAAAGTGCATCCGGTTTGATGGACGGTACTTTGAAAAGCAAAAGGAAGTTATGGAAGATTCGGAGGAAAGTGGATACGAATATTAACTTTTTGAATCCTGGTAAGCGAAAAATCTTCCTAAAAACCGTAGGGGTAAACTTTCCTCACTAATTTCAAATTGTCATAACTCGGTCAATTTTTATCCGATTGAGCTGGTCTTGGTTTTAATCGATAGGTATTGAGTTGATCTTTAAAATGAGACCAAAATCATGTCTGTATCTATCTTACTTTTGAAGTTACAGAACCAGTCCCGGTACTTTTGGGACACCCTACGTATGATATTTTTACTCTACACATATGCCTGAATACGCATCATAAGGGACCTATGTGCTTCCTAAGTTGCCAAGTATTAATTATTGTTTGATGATTGGTCTAAAACATTCAATACAACCAGTAAAAATTAACTGTCTCCTGCGAGATTCGAACCCCCGCTCGCACAAAAAGTGACATTCACCCGACGTAAGAATGGTATCTCTGCTGACTGAGCCATCTCGCCGTATGAGAGCTCGGGGAGAAAATAGAACAGTTAAGTGATCTCGGACGCTGAGCGGGGCTTCACAAAAGACGTCCTTGAGATTTCAACGGTTCGGCCACTGGCGTGATAAGAGACAAATGGATCAAGCGCATTACTCTGTGAGACATTGTTTACCTATGCTGTCATGTGTCACAAGGTTCATCTCAGTATGGATTTGCGATCGCGGCAGTAAGCTGAGGCAATATTTCTTTATTCATGGATTAAATCCATCAATCGAGTTCTGATTTTGGCTCATATATCCGTAACGGGTCCTCCAGAGCAATTTTCCACCTTGTACGATGGTTATTATTTCTTTATATCTATGTTTAAAATTTGAGGTGGGATAATGGCGGCTTCTCAAGAACACCGAGGTAGGCGATCTTTTGCACCAACGAACAGAAAACTGATGGCGAAAAATAACCAATCAGAACCTCCCAAAAAAAAGAATTTGCCTAAAAACGGAACTTCGTGGTTCTGCGCAGATTTACCAGTCAGACACGACATCTTAAGGTGGAAAAAAACTCGCTGAAAGCGAATTTTAGCAATCAACACAACTTGACGTAGAGACATGATTGGCTAAAAAATACAACGGTTTTTGATACATCGGAAAATCAACCAAAAATCGGAGACTGGGCGAAACGCTCAAGGTCGCAGAGGTATAGGGAATTCCATAGCGAAAGCAACGGAACGATTCTAATATCATGGGGAACTCCGTTTCCATGACAAAACAGATCTTTAGGCAGGGTAAGAATTGAGCACCTCAACACACGTTCTTTTCAAATTTTCATCCAGAACACTTCGAACAAGCTGCGAGTTTTTAAAACCAAGTGACAAATGGGTACTTACTGTTAACGATTTTTCCCGTATTTTGTAATTTTCACAGTGACAGATTATTTTAATCCCTTTCCAGGATTAACTATTTCCAACGTTATATTCTTGAATCATACATAAGGTTTGGTAAACATGACCTTTTTCTGGTGTTCTTCAAGGCCGGACTTTTAACACGTTCCTCAAACCTCGAGATCACCTTTGGAGTGTCCCCGAGCTTTGTCGATATTTTAAGAGACCACCTTGATTAGTCTCGATTTAAACCACAAGGAGTCCATCTGGTGAGCTGTTTTAGGAGTGACTATGAACACGGCCCAGGGTTTCAACCCCAGAAAGTAACTTCCATACTTGTATGCTGTCCATCGTCTAAAACATTTTGTCTTTAATCTGTTCCTTGTGTATGATGATGGGTCTTTAGAAACGTTATAATTGAAGCATCACGCAACGGCAACACGCTGGCTCCTCAAAATTTTACGAGGTAAACGAATTAAACAACGGGAAGTTTGAACTACGAAACAAGGTAAGTACAAAGCTCATTTTCGATGTCGGACGGTCGAGGCAAAATGGGTGGATCATAAGATTTCGAATTTTTCTTTTGACGCGAGCATAATTTTTCGGGACCAAATTGAGACTGCAGATGGATAGAGGGTGAAATTCTTGTGAACGTTGGAGACAAAAGTAAACCCAAAAAAGTAGGATTTAGAATTGAGGGGCTTGAGGGGCAAGGCACATAAGCGTAGTTTTTAAAGAAATTGAAATATGAACGATTTCAAGTAAAACTAGTCTTAATAATATTTTGTGAAAAATTCGCTCTTAATTTCCAATATTTAAGCATCAAAAAAGTCTGTTTACGGCCACAAGCCCATTCTTTCCGCCATAAGGCTACATGCAATGTCGAAACTTCAAACACGTATTTTTCGATATGGCAGAAACTGCACCTATGCGCCTTGTTCTCCGAGCTTCTCAATCGACCTGACGTAGACGATGGCATCCAACCAGCAACAACTCCGGAAACCTAACCCCAAATCATTCGACCACGGCTCTCATACTCGACCGATCAACCACGAAAATACGGTCACAAGTGTTGAAAATGGTTCATCATAACTTCTGGATGCAACTATTCGGACTCCATGGATGTCCGTGTTGCATACGCAAGGAATCGAAGGCGTTTTGGATTTTCAGACACCTAGTGCTCCACCGGCAGCGCGGCAGCGCTTGGTACCGCGAGGATTCATTCTTGTATGACAAAGATTCAAATGACGTCATTGGTATAATGTAACTTCCATTTGATCTGTGTTGAACATATCATGTTAATATCTCTTCAGGAGTTAATTTTCGAACTTCCTGTTGTGGGAATTGCTCTCTGAGAACGTGCGTTTTTCACCGTAAAAAATGGAAAGGATGCTGACTTGAGATTCTGGATGTAAAAAAGTGTGCGACAACTCACAAACCGCTGAGTCAACCGCCACACAACAGCACTGTCAATATGTAAATCTAACTGCTGTGGCAATTAACCCAACGTTTTGTGAGTTGTCACACACTTTTTCACATCCAGAATTTTACACGGAGAAAAAAACTTCGTGCATGGGACCCGAGTTTGAGGTCAAATGGATCTCTGAAATTTTCTGATCACGCATCCGAAAACTTGAGGTCGAGCTGCCGAAGTTCGGGTCAGATATCGGGGCACTTCGGTATGTGCCGGAGTACTTCAGATGTGTGACCCGAACCCTTCGGTATAAATCGAAGTACTTCAGATGCCTGACCCGAACTTCGGCAGCTGGACCTCAAGTTTTTAGATACGTGATCCGAAAACTTCAGAGATCCATACGACCTCAACTTCGGGTCCCACGCACGAAGTTTTTTTCTCCGTGTAAGTCAGCATCCTTTTTTCCCCAGTGTTTTACCTAGCTTTGACCTTGTTTCATAATCCATCATAACCTATCCTCGACCCTCCTTAATTTTCCCAAGTTCAAGCGCAGTCTCATATTTTTTTCCTTTGTCTCGGCAACAGGGTGCAGCGTTGAATGGGCTTGGTGACTAGCGATAAGAGTAACTGCGTTAAACCCGATGATGTGTAGAATTAGAGCATTAGGAGCTCCTCTGGTCCAACTCGGCCTCACCTGCGACACCTCACTCGTCTGCGACCCCTGCAAGTTAGATTACACCGCCCACACGACTCCTCAGCCACTCCGGTTGCGTCTCCGGCTCGGAGGGTATAAAATACCCCGTGGTCCCCGGTTCGTCCTTATTCTTGTCTCAACTCATTCTCTGTGCCTATGACGAACCGGTGAGTACTTTCCTCCTCTTAAAATTATTTTTGTTGTTTAGGTTAGCAGGACCGAACCGAGTGGAAAAGAACCAAGCTGTATTCTAGGAGGAAAATAGGTTAGGAGTATATTTGAGTTCGACTGGCTGACCTTAATAGACTAGACTAAACTAGACTGACTGGAATTAATTTATAATAATTTTTCTACACTGTAATCTCTCATAGGATTTTCCAAATTACACTCGTCATCACTAAGTTGTTAGTGAAATAGTTAACAGAAAAAAAAAAAAAAAAGTACAGGCCGATATCCGAAATTTTAAGTCAAGATAAAATACTTCGAATCTAAAAAAGGGGTCACAAATCACCATCCACATCAAATCTTTCGAAGAGGAAAAAGACTCCTGACATATATTTCTGAATTCAAAATGTACGTGGGGTTATATGGAGTATGTGTTAATTACAGTACCATATCCGAGATTCTAAATCAGGATAAAATATTTTGTACATTAAAGTAGGGGTTAGAGCTCATCATCAACATGAAACCTTTACGGAAAGGAATAATAATCCAAACATCTTCTCCATTCCACAGTGTGACTTGTTTTTAATCTACTACACTTGGTTAATTTGGTCATTGCCTCTATGAATATTTCGGTATTTTTCATGTTGTATACAAAAACAATATATTTTGCCCTGCTATATGTACTTTCCCTTCAGTGTAAAAGTTATGCTTGGATATTAAAACTCAGATTCGCCTAGTAATGACCTGAATATTATTGGGCAATCTTTTGCAATTAAATGTCTTACGATGTTTTAATTGGTGAGTGTCAAATGATGCCGATGTATGGTGCATAATTCAACGAATTATAATCAAGAATAAATGAAATCAATAAAATGGATTATTTGATGTCGAAAAATAATATCAACTGGTGAGGAGATAAACAGTAAGTACTCACGGTGTTTTTTATGCACTAAATATTTTCCAGCTTGAGGGGTTGTTTTTTATTTCACGTAAAATTATAAAATTAATTCCATTATTTATGTCTTACTACACTTTTGAAATGATTGATTTTTACGTGTCAATGTTTAGACCTTCGGCTTCCGATAAACTGATGGAAGTAAATTATCCACCAATAATTTTAGTATCATGCTTTTGAAATGGGGAAGTACATATCTTTGCTGAGGTAAAACAACTTGACGTCATAAGGAAACCAGTTGCATATCGACGCTTTTTTTTGCAAAGTTCGGTGATGTAAAAATCCGGATTGCGTGCAAAATAATATTCAATATCCGAGGGAAAGTATGGATAGGAAAAAGACTGAAACCCCCCATTTCAGTGCCGAAGTCTTACGGATTAATTCAATCCGGGTATAATTTTATCTTTACTGTTTGCAGAGGAGGAAAAATACCTGTTTGCGTTAGAAAAAGTTGCGTTTGAAGCAAAGGTCACGAGTAACAGGAAACCCGAGTCGGAAAGATTTAAATTCCTGGAAATTATTTATACCGACAGGCGAAAACTTACCGTTGAAGTTATTACAACCTTTAGAAAGGAGTCTTGTTTATCGCTTTCAAAATTACAAGGATAATCGTTTTTGGATTCATTTCATTTAAAGAACGATACTGCTATTTTAGGATTTCTCTTCTCTTCTCTTCTCTTCTCTTCTCTTCTCTTCTCTTCTCTTCTCTTCTCTTCTCTTCTCTTCTCTTCTCTTCTCTTCTCCTCTCTTCTCAAAAAAAAGTTAAAACCTCATAATATCAACACGTGGCTTTCTATTGTGTACTTTCCCTTCCTATTTAATGCCGCAGAGGCTCGCTTCGAGTAAGATTGTCGTCCAATCGAATAGCCTTTTAGAGCGAACATTTTTACGGCTCTTATCCGATTCTGTGCCGACAGAAAAATTTTAATTCGCTATGTGTAAGAGATGAGAATTCGGGGTTACTTTAGTCTGAGTGTATGATAGACAACTAGAGTCGGACACCATTGTTTACAGATTTCTCATAAAATCATTAAGTTAGAAGAAAATCATTGCTCCAAAATGGGAAGTGTTATTGCTACCGTTCATCTGTAGTTATCAATTATTACGGGTTTCAAAAACAAAAAATCCAAGTATGGCAAATCTGCACCTGAATCATAAGAGTAAGATCACATAATATTTTTATTAATATTACCTTTTTCCCCTAGAACTGTGAATGAGTTTTCGTTTTTTTGGTCTTTCTTTCGTCTTTTTCGTTGCTCACAAAGGAAAAAAAGTCGCTTGGATCTAGAGTCCAGACTCTTAAAAACATTTACAAGAAAAAATAATCTTGATTCAATCGGACTTTTTGCTCGAATCAAAAGAAAATCCGCCTAAATCAAGAGGCTCGGCTCCTCGATTCAAGGAAAAATCGGATTGAATCAAGAGTATTTTTTCTTGTAAATTTCATTAAGAGTCTGGACTCTAGATCCAAGCGATTTTTTTCCAGTGCATAAAAGATCGAAAGATTTGTCAACTTTACTAGAATCTGTTGCACACATTAGTTTGCAAGATGAGACTTGTCTATCACATCATAGAAAATGACATTGAAATTCGATTAAATCTCTTTCAGCTATCCATTTTCTGACCTTCTTTAATAAAAAAATAGAACGTACAACACATACTTTCAACGTTTCTCTCACGAAAGGAAGTAACTCCATTTCAATGTTGCCAGATTTGTCCGCGCAATTGGCACACTAACAGGAGAATTCGGAGGATTTCTAACTGGAAATTTCACTAACTTTTCCTCTGATCTCATCCAAAAATCAGACAAATTTTGACGAAAATGTTGCAGGTTCATCCTCGTAAAAAAATGAATTGTTTAAGTCATTTCCACAACTTTGAAATGGAGTTACGTTCTAGTGGCGTGGCGTGAATGATCAATTATCGACATTTACCCATACGAAGCAATGGTAAAGAATTGATTATTAAGATGTTCGTTGCGAACACCCTGATTCTCGATTCTTTTCCTAGGTTTAAATGGCAGATCAATCGACATATCGCCAAGCATGCTACGGCACTGTTACGTTCCTTCGTGCGAGAAATGACGATATTTTCCTCAGAGTAACAAGGACCTATCTAGAAGGCAGTTTTCTTGCAACGATGACTCTAAATTCTCCTACCTTTTATACGCCTAGAAATAAAGTGGTTTGTTAGAATATCATCTGATCAAAAAAGTCCTAAACATGTCTGTTAAAATTTCAGAATGCGAAAAGGAAACCTGGCGTTGAAATTGGCGAGAAGCTGTTTGGTTCAGCTGAACTGGCTGTTCATTTGTACCTACCTCTTATGCGGCCTGTTTCCCGCTGCACAGGCCGAGTACCTGAACCATACCGACTATCACCCGTCAGTGCGTGTTAGCTACCTTGACAGGTGAATTAAAAACTTCAACTACTTTTTTTGCAGTTTTTTCATACCTCTCATGTTATTTTAGACAAGGATCAAAATTCATGTTGAGCAGATGTCCCTCGTATTTGAGCACAAGTATTGGGCGCTTCTGGTTTTCCTTTCTGACGTCTTTCACCTATGGTCTCTCCATATAAAAGGGTGTTTTAAAAATCGGGGGTTTCTTTCGGCCACCACGATATATCACGTAGACAAGTGCAAAAAATTGAGTAATTTAGTCTCACCGAGCATTTCTATCGTTTGTGCGGAGAAAGTTTTTAGTTTAGCCTTATTTTCAATTCATCACAGAGGTCTTGAAGCAAAAAAGGATCCGACAAAAATGTACCCAAAAAGGGTTTGCAGGTTTGGACTTGAAATCGCGAAAAACCAAAATCTTGGCTGATCCTAATTTCGAGATATCGCAATTTGAAATGTTCATAGTAAATGCAAGTTTTCTACCGATTTTGATCCGCTTTTTTACTTATTTTTTTGTCCATTGAATCGGTGTCGATCGGTTCACGTTCTTATTTTTCCGTTCGATTCATGTCGATCGAATACATTACATCTCAGTACTTACCGACTACCTACCATACTTTTTTTTTTTAACCGAGCAATTTGCCCTCTGCTGCGTCTGCAGCAATTGTTGTTACGAATATGTTGTGCGTATTGATTTCAGCTTATTACATACCTGACTCTCTGAAGGCGTTTTATGTGCGAAAGTAGAGCACCCTTTTGGAGATTGAACGAATCGTTCAAATCCTACTTCGTTCGTTTTCCGACAGATTGCGTTTCTTGCGCACATAAAACGCCTTCAGAGAGTCGAGTATGTAATGAACTAAAATCAGGGCGCACAGTATATTCGTAACAACAATTGCTGCAGACGCAGCAGAGGGCGAATTGCTCGGTTAAAAAAAAGAGTATGGTATGGTAGGGTATGGTAGGTAGTTGGCATGTACTGAGAGGCTATGTATTCGATCGACATGAATCGGAGGAAAAATTAAAAAAAAAAAAAACCGATCGACACCGATTCAAAGGACACATCAATTAAAAACCGGATCAAAATCAGTGGAAAATTTGCACTTACTAGGTACATTTCAAATTCCGATATTTCGAAAAAAGGATCATTTGAAATGACAATAATTCCAACAAACTTTACAATAACTTTAAAATTATAAGTTGAAAACCGTTGACACCGCAAGTTTGAATAATCGTATCAAACACACAGTGCGGCCGGCGTGGAAGGCATAGTAGCGCCTTACAAGACCGCAGGATACTTCATGCATTGCGCGTGCAGCACGGTGCGCGCGGCGGATAGTATAGCGCCTTACAAGTCTGCAGGATACTTCATGCATTGCGCCAATACCACAGTGCACACTCAATTCCTTGATGATTCGTATTTTCTTGGTGTCGAACCTACCCCAATGTATATAATTTCCGAACAGTGCACGCCGTGAGCTTGCAATTCAAGGATCACATGATCGTACAGATTTTGCAATCCTGTAAGTTTTCTGGAGAAAATATAATTTTACTCCGCCGCTTCGAGGAGCCAGTCCGCTTCTTATCTTAATTGCAGGGATTTAGAAGTTCGAACGATGTTTAATTTTTTTTTTTTTCACGATTTTAAGTTTACACGCACCATAGGCTCAGATCATGCAAACCCTTTTTGGGTACTTTTTTGTCGCAATTTTTCCCCCTCAGGACGAAAGTGTCATATTGCCGCAAAGTTTGCTTCGGCAACAAGCTACCATGCGGATTGATTCAAAGGATTGGCAAAGACGCAAGGACGTATCTCAATTTCAGAGGCGGATCCAGCAATTCGGCAACACCGGATTTCCTCCATTTAAACCTAAGCTAAAAAATCGATTCCTGTCGGAGCACCTGGCCTCTCTATGAATCGATACATTTCCATAGGTTTAAATGGAGACAAGACAAAGTTGCCAATTTGCTGGATCCGCCAATGCTCAATTTCCACGTGAGCCTTGCTTCACATATAATTCCATGCTTCTTAGCGCTCATGCGGAAGATACGCTCTTACACCAGAAGAGCGACCATAAGCTAACACCAAAACCGTTTGTTTCTTCGAAATGCTTTGGATTTGTAAACTGAAGAAAATATTCTAAAATCAATTAAATAGAGCTGGCCATGAGGAATTTTTGGCAATTAGAACATTTACGGTATGTTTTCAAAGCTGAAAGTAATTGCTGAGCCAAGAAAAACGTCGTGTGAACATTTGATTGTTCCAAAAATTTTCTGTTAAAATACGACTTTTCTGAGAAAAAAGTTGACCTTTTTGTGGAGGACTTTTAGACATTGTAATCTTAGTCTAATGTGAAGCAAAACATTCCAAGGAATGAAATTCAAACCCTGATTGATATTCATAATTGGACTTAAACACTACTGAAATATAAAAAAAATCCATATTCATTTTCGTTTTTTTTTTTTTTTTTTTTTTTTTTTTTTGTTAGTAAACAACAATTGTTGAAACATTTTCGGGAAAAAATCCACCTACACTAAAGGAGCATACATTTGGTCAAAATCTAAACTTGAATCATACGGATGGGAAATTTAAAGTAAACTGCAAAATGGACTACATTTTGCAAGAAGGAACCATTATTCCTGGCCCATTTTAGAAACAACATACAGGCCTTTGGTTTCCCCATGCAGATATGTGATTTTATGGGAGAGCCAGGGACAGTGGTTCCTTGTTGCAAAATGCAAAATGTTTGCAAATTCCTTGTTGAAATCCAAATGTGTAACACCAAAAACTCAGAATGTATGTACAATTTTTGTTACGCTTTTGAAAGAGAAAGATAGTATTTTAACCTCAGAAGATTGGCAAAAATGAATAAAAGGAGAATCCCGGTTCGTAACTTAAACCGTTTTCCCAATGGTTTTTTTTTAATAAAATACGAGTTTTTTCAATTTATTTCTAAAAGAAGTCTACAACAGATAAGACTAATGACTTCTTTCAAAGCTATATATTCTCTTGGAGAGAATATTTTATATTCTCTCTCTCGTGTGGCAAATTTCGCCGTTTTTTCCCAGCATGAAATCTTTATTAGGAAATTAGCGCTTCAAGAAACAAGAACTGGATCCCCGTGTAAAAAGAAATCCGATGTATAAATATTTTTTCGGGGAACTCATTATTTTCTGTAAATATAAAGAAGGGCGAGGGAGTGAGTTAAAATCGTTTACTCCTTGGAAGCGTAAAGGAATGGCATTAAGAAGATCAAAACGAAGAAAAAGCTCACGGTTTAAAGTGAGATCAAACAATCGCATTTTCATTGTAGACTTACGATCTACCCACCCGTATATCTAAAACACCCCCGAGTTCACAAAGGAAATTGGGATCCCGTTGAATTGAGTAGCATTGATTCTGATCGGGTTTCGTTTACTGTAAGAGCTGGGATATCTGAGATCTGGGAGAAAGTGAAGCGGGTATTTACTTCGTTGCGTAGAATCGGTTTAATTACGAGACTTACCGCCTGACGCGATTTTACAGTGGCTTGGGTTCTTTGTTTCATAGGTTTTGTAATGATGTATTCGTTGCGTTTTCAGCTTCTTACTTAATTCTTAATGATTTCAGTGCATTGAAAACGAGTCTCCTCGTTTGTGAAAAAGTTTCTCCTCCTTGCAAATCTTCATAATATTACGAATTTTGAATTTTGAAATATTCACGTCTTATCATACTAGTCCAATGCTTTAATTTCAACTTCCGATAGAAGAAATTTTCATGTCAAAAACAAAAACTTACGGCACAGGTAAGAAATTACTTACGGTAAGAAAGAGACTTTATGATCTTTTGCCTCTACTTACTTCCACTCTACTAGATTTCTTCAAAAATGCTGGTTTAACTCTATCCATTTAAATTACTCCATATCCCTGGTAAAAATTAGCGATAGGAGCTGCGTTTCAAAATACCATAGGAATTCTTATAGCCGGCTAAAGAAAGCAATAGAAAATCATATAGCTGGCTGTAGAAAGCGGAGCAAATCATATAGCCGGGCTATACGAAGCGATAAAAAAGTATGCAGCCGGGCTATGGTTCCTATCGCCGGGCTTTACACTTTATCGCCATCGGCTATAAAAGGCTATAAGAAATTATGTAGAAATTCGAGTGCTTTGGAAATCATTAAGTTTGATACGGAATCACCATTATATTTACAAAAAACACATTATATCTTCCTTTAATACATATATTTTTTCATCAATTAAAATGAAAATAATCCATACAGGATGTGCAAACATTTCAAAATCGTGAGTTGAAAAACGCTGACCTCGCAAGATTATATTGGAGCCTAACACAGAGCGAAGCGGCGCGCGGCGTGCTACCAGCGATAAGCGCGCACCGGCGCCTACAAATTTAACAGGGATACTTCACGCATGGCGCAATGCGTGAAGTATCCTTGTTAGGTTTGAAGGCGCTAATGCGCTTTTCGCGCTGGCTGTTCGTCCGCTGCGCCGCAGCGTGCCACGGCGCTTGAAGCAACTATTTCACACCAGAGGTATTGCACAGTATCATACAAAATTGAAGGCGCTCCATCATATTAGGAATGGCAGGCATCCTTCAAAAGTACGGAGCTTTCCTCGCAAAATAAATCAAGATATCACGGCCCAAAAAGAGAGCGGTAGTCCAAAAACTCACTAAGTCCTAGCATCCGTAATTAGTAACGTTTAGCGTACACTTTATCGCCTGGCTGTTGCTTAGTTGCCATCGGCTATAAAAGGCTATAAGAAATTGCGCAGCCGGCTGTAGAAGCTATTGAAAATCTTACAGCCGGCTGTAGGTCCATGGTATTTTGGAACGCAGATTCTACTGCCAATTTTTACCAGGGATCTCAAAATTTTGACGCTCGCTCTGCTTCTTTCAGTGGCAAATTTCGGCAGTTCGACTTCACTGGGAATCGAGATCAGTGGGGGCCTTTGACCGAGCACGCTAGCACACGTCACCATGAGACCAACCCACCGACCATCCGGAGTGATCGCAGGGAGTCCTGGCGCGCTCTGGAAGGGGACAGCCCTCAACGAAGACTGGCGGAGCGGGTGACACCTAGTGGGCGTCGTGACGTAAGCGGTGATACGTCCACCGAACGTCGGTTCGTCCGAGATTCAAACCTGATCAGGGACGCTAACTCTCGTTCCAACTTCAGGACCGACCGCCAGAGCGCGCGCGCAGTGCGGCTAGAAGAGCAACGGCAAAAAGTAAATACCAGGGCTCGGATTAATCAAGGACGACTCTTGCAAGAACAGATTCGCTCAGATGAACGAATTCAGGACGGGAATCGACGAAGGACGTCGTCCCAAAGAGCTGCCGTTGAAAACCGACGGAGGGTCCAAAGTGACTCTCCCGCCCCCCGAATCTCCTCGACGGAAAGGTTTGTGGATCGACGAGAGCCAAGTCGAAATACAGAGTCATTTAACCGACTGCGGCAGTTCCGTGAACGAGCATTTTCCGAAAGCAGACAGCCTAGTTCCTTCAGGAACCGGGCTGACGGAATTTTGCACGAAGCTCGAATTGCAACCAGGCAGAACTTAGTTGCAGCTCGACTTGTAGAATCCTCAATTCGATCTGATGAGAGGAGAGTTTCTACCGTGGTCTCTAGAGAAAGGGCTTCTTCCGATCGCAGTGAAAGACGAGCTCTGGATAGAGAGGCTAGGAGGATCTCCCATCGTAGAGAGAGCGCCTTCTTTGATCGGGCTACTTCGCAACGAATGGATTCCCGTGGAGAGGTCTCTAATCTTCGCGAGGGGGCTCGTGTTAATGAGCGAGAGCGGCGATTTGTCGAACGTGAAATCGAGAAACGAGAAGTATCAGTTCGTCGAGAGAGGAATTTAAACGACAGGACCGATCGAAGACGGTTCGACGAACGGAGAGAATCATCTGTTCGTCGAGAAATTCATGAACGAATTTCGACCGACCGCTCCACTCGAGGAGAACTCGATGAAAGGAGGGATTTATCAACTCGTGAAATGTCTCGTTCAGCTCGAGGATGGATCGATAATCGAGGTGAATCGTCCGCTCGTCGAGGTAAAATTTCGACCCATCGATCAACTCGAGTAGGGATCGATAGACAAATAGAATCATCTAGCCGAGAAATGTCTCGTTCGGCAAAAAGAGAGCTTGATGCACGGAGAGAACTATCAACTCGAGAGATACCTAGTTCAGCTCGAAGAGAGCTCGATAATCGAAGAGAATTATCTGCTCGTCGGGAGAGAATTTCGACTGATCGATCAACTCAAAGAGAGATCAATGACCGACAAGAATCTTCCATTCGACGAGAAAGACTTTCGACTGATCGGTCAACTCGAGTAGAACACAATAGGCACAGAAGATCATCAAACCGGGAGATATCTCGTTCGACTCGTAGAAAGGTTGATGAACGGAGAGAGTATTCAGGCCGTCAATCTCGAGAGACGGATCGATTAATGCGAAGAGAGGCACGCAACCACAGAGATGCACCCGTTCTTCGAGAAGCATGTTTAAGTGATCAATCCGATCGAGCAGGGTTTGACCAGAGACAAGAAAACACAGCTCATCATGGGAGAATTTTAACGGACCGATCCAACCTGAAAGAGTTCGCTAGACAAATCAGTGACGACACGGACAACGCGTCCACTCGAAAATGGAGAAGTCTCTCAAGTAATGACATTCGCAGGACAGTTCTTGCGGATGATAATTTAAGACAGGATCGTGCAGTTGATCGCCGCCATGTTACACGTGACGGTCAGTCTCGTGTTCAAAGGCTGGGAAGTCGGCGTGAAAACTTTAAGGAGAACGAGGGTCCCACTCGGGCTATTCGAGTAACGAACTCTGGAAGAAGGGATGATTTTGAAGAGGAGACCACGCGTCAGTCTTTCGGAAAAGTTTTCGTGGACCGTATGACCGATTCACGACTATCTGACCGACGAGTTGCTGAGCGTAGAGATGTTAGGGACGTTGTCGACTCTGTGAAGTTAGCGAATCGTCGAGTAGACATCCGGGATGATGTCAACTCTCGCCGAGAGATGTTGTCCTCTAAATTTGCTCCAAGTAGGAGGATTTTGGACGACCAGCTCTCTCAGACAAACACTCGGCGAGACAGTAGAATGAACGGCGGGTACGCTAGTCGCATCATCGAAAAACGAGAACTCAGGGAGGCTCGTATCTCTGTTCGTCGGGAGAGTGACACTCCTAACCGAGCCAACGATTGGGAGAGCAGGCGTTCCGAAGAGATCCCCTACAAAAATACGATTCGTCAATTTGAGCGAAGAGAACTTTCACGTGAAGGAATGAGCTTTGACAAAGTAACACGTAATCCAAGTCCCAGCCGGGAAACTTTCCGAGCTGACCGCACCGACTCAGAAATCCTCGCTCGACGCGAATCCGTCATGGAAAGGCGAGAATCTAATATGAGAATTGCCGAAAGACGAAGGTCGTTGGATGATTCTGCACTCGCCCGCGAAGGGCGAACTTCCCTGAGGAGATTGAATGAGCGAAGTGCTTCAGAAAGACGCGACTCAGTGATGAAAATACGGGCAACGATGACAACCTCTGGCAGGCAGAATTTCCGAACGAGGCGCGTTTCATCCGTTATAGTGGAATCAGAGCGATCGATGGACACACGCCGGCGAATGCATGTGCTTCGTCTAGGCAGCAGTATGTCCTTTGGCAGGCGGATGGTTGCTCGTGATACCACCGATAGGATCCGGAGAATTGAACCTTCTGAAAGGAGAGAAATAGTTCGTGAGGCTTCTGAAAGGTTACGCAGAAGTGATCCCTCTGAAAGGAGAGAGATAGCTCGTGAGGCTTCTGAAAGGTTGCGCAGAAGTGAACCCTCTGAAAGGAGAGAGATAGCTCGTGGGGCTCCTGAAAGGTTACGCAGAAGTGAGCTCTCTGAAAGGAGAGAGATAGCTCGTGGGGCTCCTGAAAGGTTACGCAGAAGTGAGCTCTCTGAAAGGAGAGAGATAGCTCGTGAGGCTTCTCAAAGGTTGCGCAGAAGTGAGCCCTCTGAAAGGAGAGAAATAGCTCGTGAATCCTCTAGAAGGGGGCGAGAAAGTGAGCCATCTGAAAGGAGAGAAATAGTTCGTGAATCTTCTGCAAGAATGCGCCGAAGTGAACCCTCTTACCGAGGTGAGGTAATTCGTGACGGTGCAGTGCGCAGAAGTGAGCCCTCTGAAAGGAGAGAGCTAGCTCGCGAGGCCGTAGAGCGGGTACAGAGAGTTGATTCCTCACGAAGGAGAGAGATAGCTCGTGAGGCTTCTGAAAAAATGCGCAGAAGTAAACCCTCTGAAAGGAGAGAGATTGCTCGTGAATCTTCTGAAAATGCCCGCGGAAATGATCTTACTCAAAGGAGAAAGGTAGCTCGCAAGGCTTCTGAGTCGATGCGCCGAAGTGAGTCTTCAGAGAGAAGAGGAATGTCTCGTGCATCCGAAAAATTGCGCAGAAATGAGTCCTACCAAAGGCGAGAGGTCGCTCATGAGGCTCCCGGAAGTTCTCTGGGGCACCAACGGCTACGAGTTATAAGGTCAGAGCATCTAGTGCGGCTCACAAGTCGAATTACTATGTCCCCCAATCGGGAGAGGATGAGTGGATCGGAACGCAATCGCAGTCAAAGGCGAGAAGTTTCTCGAGCAAATGAGCGTCTCGAAACGGCACGAGGCAGTGCGGTGACCTTAATTAGGAACCGCGACGCTAGGAGCACAAAAGTCACACCGATTCGAGAGTCACAAACATCCCGAGACTTCACTCCGACGAAGAGGACGGAGATTAATTCGAAACTCGCACAACTTCCCTATCGGCTCAGCATGAGCCGAAGAGAAAAGGCGTTCTCGGAAAAATCAAAGGATGAAGCCTCACGTCGCTCCTCATTCGTCCTTGATTCCGGCCGAGTCTCACGTCAATATTTGGCACCTGTTAACACGGAAAAATACTTAACCGAATCGGCCGCGCGTGAAGAGGTGGCTTCGCGCCGGGATCGTGGGAACCGGGAGAAACGTGCTCAGTTACCCGTGAGAGAGGACTTAAGGCGGGGGCCAGGATTACCCGCTTCTCGGAACTCTGACGTCGCGAGTTATGACTCGAGGGTGCGAAGACAAGAGGGAAGGGATTTCAGTGGGGTTTCCTTGTCCGGCAGGAGGCTGAGTCAACGATTCGAGAATCTCTTCGTCAAGGAATCGAAGCATGATTTGATGTCCGGAATAATGACAAGCATCGGAGGAACCGTCTCATTTGGCGTTGAGTTGGCAGCGAGTCCGGTCAAGATGCTGTCAAAGAGTCTTGGCTTGTACGTTGCCGATAATTCGGCGCATTTGGTATCCTGCGTCAGCTGGCTCGTGACTCTGGCTCTCGTTGCAGTCACTATTTTGGACCAGGTGAAGTAACATTCAATTTGAATACGTTTAAATGGACCGCTTTCAGTGGCAAGGAACCAAGCCACCCTAGCTATTGCCGAATTTAAGTGAGCAATTTAATTTCTTACGAGAGAACGATTGTGCGGATTTTTTTGAAAATTTTAAGGAACTTGCTTTTAATAATCAGAAAATTCAACGAAATGTGCACAAAAATCCGCACAACCGTTTTTATGAAAGGAATCAAATGGAATTTGGTAATATTTTATGTGGCTTGGTTCCTTTCTGCTTATCGCGGTCCAAATATCCATGGTCAAAGTGCAAAACCACGTATCCTCACTGCGGTGTTTCAAAATGTCCGCCTCTATTTTATTTTTCGAATTGAACCTTAAGTTAACTTTATAGCTTGAAAATCATACAGAATATTCTGCTAACAGAGATGAAAAATTAAGGGAAATTTTCAAGAAATTACGTTGACTAGTTTCCCGAATAAAAAGTAAAGTATGAAAGGAAGACTGCAACGTCGCAAAAAAGTTACGTGGTTTCGCAATTTGTTTTTTTTTTTTTTCAAAATTTGTTTTCTTGAAAATTTTGACCTTTCCGAATATTGAAAAAATGAATTCCATTTTGGTTTATTCTCAAGACATCAAAATGACTCAAGTTGAATTTCCTTTATCATTATATGTGCTGTACAATTGCAAGCCTCTAGAGATTATAATCGAGAAGATAATCCTTCAGTTGCAAAGCTTGCCGTAATGAATTTATAGCATGCAAGTCAACTTAAGTACGTAGACCTCGCAGCTTCAAGCTACGCGTCATTGGCGGATCTAGCAAGTTGTTAACGATGTCTCTTCTCAATTTAAACGTATGGTAAAGAATTGATTTTCGGAGGGGCCGAATTTTCCATAACATAATCGATTCTTTACCATAGGTCAACATGGAGAGGGAACAAAGTTGCTAGCTTCCTGTATCCGCCTCTGTAACATGGAACGTGTGAATTGGCGAATGAAGATGTCGTTATTCTTTTCAAATTTGAGTTGGATTTTAGAATTTTCAATGTTGATCTATGAAATGTCAAAGATCAAGCGAGTATTTTAATACTCCAGAATTAAATTTGTGGGTTTTAGTCTTATTTGAAAGATATTTAATGAAAATTTCCTTTGTTATTTTACAGAAAACACTAGCAAATATCGGCTCAAATTTACAGAATCACTTACGTTTCGGGTATGCATACGATTTTATTTATAACTAGCTTAAACATCCATGCTTTGCAAGGCATCTAGAGTATGTGCTGCCGTTGGACAAAAAAAAGAATTCGAAATGAAAAGCAACAATTGGACTGCATTTTGCAATTTGGAAGTATAAATTCTGGCACTTCTTGAAAAACACTTATAAGCATAGGGAAACTAATGGCACGCACGTTCTTTTTAAACCGGGCTAGAAATTATAATTCCAAATTGCAAAATGTAGTCCAATTAAGCATCCACGACAAAAAGGCAATCACAGCAAAATGAAATCTTATTTTGCGACGCACACAACTGCTTTTTTTCTTTTTTTTTTTTTTTTTTTGGAGTTTTTAGGGCAAGTTGAAAGTCCAGCAAAAGGAGTTTTCAAAGGCGGTACTGAGCTCCATTTCACCTTGACATTGTGAAATATGGACCTCTATTGTCCATACCTAATTGATACGGGGCTTAACACAGTGATCACTATCCCAAAACTTAAAGTAGAAAGAAACATGTCTGGTGACTGAAAGATCACGAAAGTTTCTTAACTGCTGTTTATTGATTCGCTGATTTCGAATTTGATGATAAATCGCCAAGACTTTAACACCTCGACTTATTGAATATATTGGCAAGTTTATGGCACGCTGCGGCGCGGCGGACGGTCAGCGCAAACGCGCATTGGCGCCTACAAACCTAACGGGATACTTCAAGCATTGCGCAATGCTTGAAATATCCCTTTAGGTTTGTAGGCGCCAATTCGCGTTTGCGCTGGCAGCACACCGTGCCGCCGGTGTGGTGACCAAACTGACAAGGAAAATTGAAGTGCATTCAACACGCACATCCATAGATCACAAATAGTTGCATCAAGGCGTTATAACCGAGGTGACACAAACTTCATTTTTATAGAAAAAAGAAAAGTCGTAGCCTATTCCTACGAGTATATGAACCTATAGATATGATGCGAGGGACAGCTAATTTTAGTGTTCGGCGCTACATTCTTTTTTATCAAACCTTAATCATATTCTTAGAAAATGTAAATTTTGAATTTACTCTAAATTCACGTGCTCTCTTGCACTTAAAATTTTTTAACTTGGGACGCGTCTGGGAAATGTGCTCCAAAACGTGTCTCTAAATTAAAAAAAAAGTTTCAGTATGAGTGAGCACGCAAATATTTAAAATTGAATAGATATTTTTAAATTTGACGTGTTTTTATGGTATTTTAAACTTCTTTTTATTTAAATCAATTTCTTTTGAACAATTTTATCTATCTTTTATTATTTTGTAATCTGTTCGCATTCCTACCCTCAGTTGGTTGAAAAACATTTGCCACTCAACCAATGATCACGATAGACGGTATTGCTGAAGAATCCGACGATAATAGGACGTATTTAATGTGCTGGTTACACGCTCAAATTCCCATCAATTTCCGATCAAATGGTGACTGGTGCGCACCATCTACCATGAAATTTCTGCGGCCTGCAAAAATTTGATGGTAGATGATGGAACTGTGGAGCTCATCCTTCATCTAATTTCCACACAACCGTGCTTATTTCATGCTTATTTCAATCAACACGCTGTTTTAATTAATTTTATCCATCAATCTAGGTAACTCTCCACCGCCAGCTTGGTCAACATTTTGATCGGAATTTGACGGAAATTTGAGCGTGTAACCAGGCCATTTATTACAAAGAACTAAATACTTGGTGACGTGAGCCATCTCGTGCATGTATTCTTACGGGTCTCGGGATTCATGTCAGGATAAAAATAGTTCCTTTTGATTTAAATACGCGCAATAGGTCCGAGCACCGTGCGGCGTAAAAGCGGCCGAGAAAGTTACAATGACGGTGGCAACTTTCAACACCTCACGGTTAACGTATCCTCGGAGACTTGGCGCTTTTAAAACCGTGCACCACGTGCCGCGCCGCGTAGCCACGTAAAGTCAGGAAGCCGCATAAAATCAACTTCTTTATTGAGGCTCTCTTTTTCCGGCACATCACAATACGTAAAAGTGCGGAAGTTTGTAAGACAATGGGTTTTTGATAAGGCTAAACGACGCTGTGGGCGTTGTAAGGAATATAAACTACAATCAATGTCGCCGTGCTACCGGGCCGCTTAACGATACCTTACGAACATTGAAAATGCACGTTCGTATCATCCGCGCACCGGAATAAATTCATTCGAGAATCTCTGTAATTACGGTCTCTTTTACGTTATCTCGTATCGAGCACTCCTCCGGTCTTGATATTGAAAAAAATCACGTAGCTCCGATATCGATGTGAGGAAAGTGTTCGAGAAAGATCAATATATAGTGCCGTGCCGTCAGGTGATGTGAGCTCCTTCTGAGAGGGTAGTTTACGCCAAATAAAGTCCCTACAAAAGCTGTTTCATACCATGAGAACTTAGGATAGACTTGGAAAATTCTATCATCTCCATTTGGGAAAAACGTAATAAACGTCATTTGAGCGTATATAATAGATGTTGCTAAACTCCTATAATTTGTGTATTTGTGACGGAAAAATAATTCTCAAAATCATTTGGGAAATAGTGACCAAACAAGGAAAAAATCACAAAAAAATGTGACTTGGACCTCATAAAACAAGGTGCCAAAATAGTATTTTGCGGGGAAACCAAAACCAAAAAGTTTAAACATTTCAATTTAAGTCAAACATTGAGCTCTGATGGGTATTAGTACAAGACCGGGAGGGGGAGAAGGGGGGGTTAAGTTCAAGCAAAAGTGTACCAAATAGTTACTAATAACTACTAATAATTACCAATAACTACTAATAATTACCAATAGTTACCAGTATTCACCAATGGGGTAGTTACCAGATATACCTTTCAGAATTATGATTAATACTTGTAATTCTTGTGACAATATTTGCAAAACTTTATATTGAAAATTGATGCAATGTGTGGTTACTCGATAGTCTAACGAGTAAGCTCCAATGGTGCTTGTGATTTTTCACCCTCAAAGGAGCGCCACAATAAACTAAGTTTGGCTTGAAGTTTTTTATCGAAGAAACAAAATCGGTGGAGTTTGATAGAATTTAAAAATAATATTCTCTGTAAAAAGCATGAGAAACGGAGCTTGACGGAGAAGCTTGAAGAAAGAGCTTGAATGAAGATTATAATTCACACTTGAAAATGAAGAAGTTTGCGGCGAGGTGTCTCACCACTCGAAAATAATGGGCCTGTTGCATGCAAGAGATACAGCCGTGCGAATAGATTTATTAGAGGTTAAATGACACGAAAATTACGATGGTCACATTAAAAAAGTCTGAAATACACTCCTTACTGCGCAATTTGCGTTGTTAGGAACGCGCTTTTTCAAATTTCCCGCGTCTGGGGGCAGTCTTCTAACGGCAACTCGCGGCTATTTCCGGTCAACTAAAACTGACAACATAACCTAAAAATCGGAGCTCGTGATATCGTGAAATGAAATGTAGAAGGATTGCGTTGGATATTTAAAAGTTGATCGATTTCGTTACCACATAAAGCGTACATGGACCACTATAAGAGATCACGTTGGGTTTGCAAACAAACTGAAGGAAAAAATAACAACAACAACAACAACGACTCGGCATCTTCCGGAAATCACCGAGCCCGCCGTTTGCTCGTTTCCGGTGATTAGAAAACTGCCCCCAGACGCGGGAAATTTGAGAAAGCGCGTTCCTAACAACGCAAATTGCGCAGCAAGGAGTGTATTTCAGACTTTTTTAATGAGACCATCGTAATTTTCGTGTCATTTAACCCCTAAAAAGTCTATTCGCGCGGCTGTACCTCTTGCATGCAACAGGCCCATTTGAAATGTCACCTTCAGAAACCAATATGTAAGGATAGGATCGCTATGGCGACTTCTTTCATTGACGTTAGGGATGAGTAACATTAAATGTAGAGAAGTGCAACGAGAGGGTGATTTGAATGATACATTAAATCGTCGATGAATACTTTTTTTATGATATCGGTGAGATATGTACGGTTGCCATCTTCATGCATTTCGCAAAACCGTTCCGTGGCTTTCTTTGCTGTCTGGGTCGTTTCATCGTAAATTCAATTACAGGTCGCGTTTAAAGGGTTGAGCGGAAACTCCCGAGGAATGGAGGAACCCACAGACATGATTGCAGAAATTGATTTTATAGACACTCACACCATATGAAGCCGAACGGTCTGGTTTATTGTGCGGTACATACACGTTACCTGATTTCCTCTAATATGTACGTTTTTTTCAAAAACTTACGGATTTTTTTCTGTGAATTTTTTTTAGAAATGTTAGCTAACCTCCAATAAGACGTCTCTGAAAGTTTCAAAGAAAAGTATTCATGAGCGATCCTAGGGATAAATATTTTACAGGGGAAGCCCCCAATAATGGAGGCTGTCGGGCAAACAGCATGATTTTAATAAAGGAGGGGTATCGATAAGGGCCGATTTTGGCCCCACTTCAAAAAATCATCTGAACCCATATTTTAAGTACCCTAGGGTAGGTGCATTTTGGCGCAAAATGTTTTCGCGATTGTGCATCGTTTCCCTGCCAAAACAGCCGACTCAATTTTTCGGCTGAAAAATGGTTTTAATTTTATGACGAGCCCAAAAAAGCTTGCCAGCGCAAATCGCGCACTGACGCCTACAAACCTAACAGGATACTTCACGCATTGCGCAATGCTTGAAGTATCCCGTTAGGTTTGTAGGCGCCAATGCGCGCTTTGCGCTGACCGCCCGCCGCGCCGCAGTGTGCTTTAAACTTGCCTACATTCAATAAGTAAGAAAGTAAACAATAAGCAGTAAAGTAAGTGTTAAAATCTTGGCGATTTATTATCAAATTCGAAATCAGCGAATCAATAAACATTCGGTAAATATTGTGCAAAATTATTCGATACATTTGTTAATTCAAATGGAGGTGCAAATAACCGTAGAAAAATAAGGTAAGAATTTTGGAATTTAGGCGGTAGGTGCTTATCAGCGTGTTTAGTCTAAACTTGAAAATTTTCAAAGTACCGCTCAATT